AGCGGGACTGCTGATATCATAGAGGCCATAAATCCCAAGAGGCGCTGGCAGTGCTTGATCGTTAACACACGATCGCGCTGAAAAAGAGCTAAACACTGATGGAATGCTGTTATCCTCCGTTGGGATAACCGTGCGTAATTTCTTACAGAATCCAGCTCGAGACCCAGATAACAGATCTTCTGACTGGGGACCAGCTGACTTTTCTCTCTGTTTATCACAAAACCCAGAGACTGCAGGTGTGACATCAGCAGAGCTGTGTGAGCTCTGGCTTGATGGGGTGAGTCCGCTAAAATTAATAAATCGTCCAGGTAGTCTAGTGTTCGGACTCCTTGACTCCTGATCGGTGTCAATGCTGCCTCGAGGCATTTTGTAAATACTCGAGGAGCCAGAGACAGTCCGAATGGCAGGACCTGATATTCGTACGCCGTATTCTCGAATGCAAAACGCAGAAACTTTCTGTGTTTTGGTAGGATTGATATGTGAAAGTAAGCATCTTTTAAATCGACTGACGTGAACCAATCCCCTGGACGCACAGATTGCATTACTTGGCGCAGAGTCAGCATTCTGAACTTGAATGATCTCAGTCTCCTGTTTAACTGTCTCAGATCCAATATTGGACTGAGACCCTTGTCTTTTTTCGGAATTACAAAATAGCGACTGTAAAAACCGCTGTTTGTGTCCTGAGGGGGAACAATTCTTATTGCCCCTTTTTCTAGGAGTGAGCAAATCTCCTTTTTCAGGGTTGGAGCGAGATCTGGCTGTATTTTTGACATTACAGTCCCTCTGAACGGTAGAGGAGGCATGCTGAATTGCAATTTGTAACCTTGGACTACAGTTCCCATGATCCATTGCGATGGAGCGCATGCGCGCCATGCTCTCAGGTTTGAAGAGAGCCTGAACGGCATGTTCGTTTGTGGGCTCGCTACGCCCTCTGCTGGACACAGATTTAAGCGAGGAGGAGAGTTTAACTCCGTCAGCCGGAGCTCCGTCTCCTTTATGTTTGAAGTTTGGTTTGTGAAAAAAGGGAAGACATCGCCCTTCATTTCTGAATCTTGAGACAAAACAGTGTGAACACAACGTGTTTTTATTAATGTTGGTGCTTGATGACATTTTTTCTTTATTGCACAAACAGAGGGGTGACAAATATGAGCCCCTAAACATTTTTGTCCGCTTAATCTGGGTTTTTTGAACTCCGTCGCAGACTGAATCTGAGAGGCTCTCCGTTTTCCCTGTGGGTGTAGAGGCTCTGATTGTTCTGAAAACAGCTGCAGAGCTAGGCTGACTGCTGTTTCCTCTCCCTCACTGCTGATGAAGATTTTGACGCCTTCGTTTGTCTCGGGACAAAACGGTGTTTGGACCATGCTGGTTGTCCAGGTGGTGGGCGTCCTCGCTGATCAGCAGGGAACGTCCCCCGCGGTTCAGACTCCAGTGAAGGTCTCTTATGTGCGGGGCGACGAGGAAGAGAATGTTGTCGCGGAGGCGCGCTCCTGTGGCCGCTGGGGTCCCTGGGCTGGGAGTAATGACGTCTCGGCATGCCCAGCCGCAGAGCCTCCTCCCGCTTCCTTCTTTGATCGCAGCGGTTCTGGATCTTTTCCAAAGCTTCTCCAAACAGTCCAGTGGGTTCGACGGCCTGCTGGAGAAAAACGGAGCGCTGGCTTTCTGGCAGCTCAGCGAGAGTGAGCCACAAGTGTCGCTGAGCGACAACCGCTTCCGCCATGCTTTTTCCCAGGGCAATAGCTGCGGTGCCCGACAGCCTGAGGATAAAATCTGCCATCCTGCGGACCTCGTCCAGCGGTTCTGCGACGTTCCTCCTTGATTGCAAAGTTTCCTGCAGCTCCTGCAGCTTTTCAGCCTGATACGCCTGCAGCATCGAGGCCGTATTGAGCGCACGCGCAGTGAGATCCTGCGCGCGGTAGATTTTTTCCAGCTGTGTTGCTGAGAACCGGCACTGTTTGCTGGGGAGCGTGGGTTTGCCGGCTGATGTGTTCGCCTTGGGTGCCAAGAGGGCCGCCAGTGTTTCATCCATGGGTGGGATGTACGACAGACCAGCTGGCTCCATGTTCTCCAAGTCCAAAAACTGAGAGAAAGGCAGGGATAACGGAGCCTTAGGGGACGCCCAGGACCGTGTGAGTTCCGTTAAAAAATCTGGAAACACAGGTAATTTGTGCCTCACCGAGGTCTGTTGTTTCGGGAGAAAATAATTACCAGCAAGTCTTGTCTGGAGCTGTCGAGGTGGGGGAGCGGGCCACGGCACCTTAAGAGACTCGGCCGCTCTGCGGCACAGCTCAAACAGGGCTGGCGTGGATCCATCCGCTTCAACAGGTGCCACCGCGGTTTCTTGTGAAAACTCCTCTGCTTCCTCATCCGCACCTGCTTCATCCTCAGAGAGGCCGCCTGAGGCTGTCAGAGAGATCTCGTCCGCCAGCAACAAGTCCTGCATGTCGAACTTGACCAGGTTTTCATCCGTGTCATCCATGGGAAGCAGCCCATCCATCTGCTCACCCCAGGACAATGCCATGGTGCTGTCCTCCATCTCATCAGACTCCAGCTCCGTGGTCGGTCTGAGAGCCTCAGACAACAGCGGGTCTCTTGCTGGGGTTGAATTTCCTAACGTTTTTGTCAGGAATTCCATGCGCTTCTCCAGGGTCGATTTTCGGAGTCGGCTACAATGCGCACATGACTCCGGGTTAGCAAGTGCCGCCTTAGCATGCAACATGCCGAGACACACCGGGCAAGCTTCGTGGGTGTCCGCTTCCGAAAGAAAAAATCCACATGCGCTTGGACACGGACGTGAACCTGGGCTTCTTGCCTTGCTAGCTTTGCTAGAGGCTTTGATTTTTCTCTTGCTCTTTTCCGGCGCCATGTTAGCGACAGAGAAGGAGAGTAAACTTCTACCGGTTAGCAAGCTAAACAGGCAGAAAGTTAGCTGTGCTGTTCTAGACTTTTCCTCCTTAGCTGTAAGGCTAAAAGGGGAAGAGTGATCAGACCCGTTAGCAAGCTAAACAGGCTAGAAAAAACAGCAAGCGGAAAAGGTGATTGTTAGCTGGGCTAAACGGGCAAAGGGTGATCGTTAGCTGGGCTAAACGGGCAGTAAGCAGGATCAGAACCTTGTAGTGACGCCCTAGGTAGGGAGCGAGCTCACCTCCAGTCGGACAGTTGAGTCACATACAGGGGACCTGCAATCAGGTTAAAGCGAGGTGAAGTGCAAAATGATTAGGGAAATGAGACCTGGCTGCATATTTATAGGCCAGGAGGGCGGGGCCTCCGGTATATGCAGCAGTCTCATTTGCCTTGACAGGCGTGTTGAAAGAAACTTCTTCAGGTTGGTCTCGCGAGGGCGCAATCCCCCATACTAATGTGTTGTACCGAGTGTACCGACCGAAAGGGAACTCTTTAAGTTACTGGACAGGTAACTTCTTCCCCAGCTGTTTACAGTTTGGAACAGAGATGGACTCTCATCTGCCATTTTTCAAACATGCAAACTGTTTCCACCTGCTCAGAAACCACAAGAGCTTAGAACGTCAGCCAAGATTTTTAAACCCTTGTTTATAGATCACACATCAAATCCACTATTGTTTACACCATTTCATCTGTTTTTTAACTTGTCTGAGGTGGCGCAGAGTGAATTTTATCCACCAGTAGGTATAATGGTGGAGCCAGGGGGTGGCCAATGGTGGCCTTGACCACCATAGATTACTTTCCAGCCACCCAAATTATTTGAAGAAACAATACTTTTAAGCAATATTAAATCTAGAAACCTTACTTAAAACTTTTCAACGACTTTAACCCTGATCTGTCTTCTGTGTTCCTTGGTCTTCATTATGCTGTTTGTCAGTAATGTTCTGTAACAAACCTTTGAGGCCTTTACAGAACAGCTGTATTTATAGCACGATTAAATGCATCATGTTTGGTGTATCAATAAGGGGAAAAAAGTTAAATAACCATGTATCATTTTTCTTCCACTTCACAATTATGTACCACTTTGTGTTGGTCTGTCACACAAAATCACATTAAACCATTTAAAAGTATTTTATGGAAATGTAAGGGCACTGTAGCAGACCAGCAGTTCTTACCAACATACATAGTTTAATTAAAAACATAAACACAGTGAAACAAGCAGCGTCTAAATAGAACAATGCCATAGTATAACCTAAATATGAACACAGCTGAACACTTCTGTGGCAGTCAGGAAGGATACACCCAGTCCAGCTTCAGTCTCTCTGAGGGCTCCTCCATCTTCAGGTCATCGTAGTTCTGGATGTTGGAGGGGATATACATGGTTATGGGTCGCCCCCTAATGAACATTTTGATCGACTGTCCTGAAACAGACAATAATGTGGGAAAAAGTAAACAGAGATGTGTTGGGTAATTGCAGTATAACATCTGTTACTGTAGATCGTATTGAATTTAAGACAGTAATGTTTTGTTTCTCCTATTATTCATGATTATAATATCTGATCAAATAGAAGACAAAGTTGGTTATATAGGATAACTGCTTGACCCATGTTAGTAGGGTGAAGCACCCCTTGGGCATGGATGTGATTTTGTGTCAAAACTGAATCATACAGCTGTTGTATCCTTCCCTGTACAAAGTTTGACACAGGTGTTGTAACTGGCCACCAAGATTAATCAGAATTTAAGCTGATCCAAAACATATTGAATCAGGGAAAGTTTGAAGGACCTGACTAGTATTGAGAGAACCTAAAATGACAGAATCAGTTCATGTGGGGAGAAGTGTCGTCTTGTCTATAGACAAACCGTGACTAGGACAGAAGTCCAACAGCATAACACCACTGAGATCCAAGAGGCCATTCCTCCCTATCAGGACCCTATAAGTCACACAGTTGCAACCCATGTGGGCATTAAGATCCTCCAGAACACTGATGGCATCTCCATCTAGCGCACCTTCCAGAACCCCTGCTAAAGACTCCAGGAAGGCTGGATATTCTGAATTGCCATTTGGCACAAAGACGCAAACAACCGTTAGAACCTGTCTGCCACCTTGAAGGCTCAGGGAAGCTGCCCTCTCATCTACGAAGGAAACTCCAACACTCAAGTACCAACTCGGGACATCCCACTTCTGCCCTGCGCCTCTCATCTTGGCCAATTCCAAATGTAATAAGGTCCAGCCCTCCCCAAGGAGACTGGTCCCAGAACACACACTGCACATTGAAGTGAGACAGATTATATTTAGTCAGTAGCTTTCAACCTCTCTCACAAATTCAGGCTCCTTCCCCACCAGGGAGGTGACTCCATTTCCCAAGAGCCAGTTCCAATATGCCAGGGTCAGAGGGCCAAGGCCCCCAACTTTGTCCACCAACCATAGTACACTGCACCTGACCCGTATGGCCCCTCTTGCAGGTACTGGGTGAACAGGAAGGCAAATTCATGTAGCTCATTCGGGCAAAACCAGCAACAACAACAAAAAATCTACACCTGAAAAAATTGAGATGAGTTCTGACTGTTTTTTTTTTTCTTAGTCCGGTAAATGCCCCATTCGTTTACATATATGGGTGAGACCTAAAACCTGTAATGCAGCCAGCCTAGTAAGGGGTGCACATTCATAGTGGCCTCATTTTCTGGCTTCTGGTCCTGTTTTTGCTAATGGTATATCTTGATGTACTAGACTTGTCAGGTCCTTGCAAATAGAATCTTTTATATACCTAACACTGGTCTGATTGCTTTCCAAGTTATGTTCAAATGAGACCATTACTTCTTGGCATTCAACAGTTTCATTTATCTGTTATATTTTAATGAGCATAAAAAGCACCAACAGAAAATAAGATGAGTTACAGACAGTCCAATATGCTCAATTAGTATGATTATACTTGTCCACACACAAATAACAGGAAAAGATTGTGAATGTGACAGAATGAAACAAAAATATGAATGTCTTTTTGTACATTCCTTACTTAAAAAGATTTAAGGATTCAAAACAGCTTAATCTGACATCTACCTTGACTGTAGGTTCCTCTTTTTGAACCAGGGGATCCTGTGTGCAGACAAAAGCACAAGGTTAGTCAGACAAATAAACATATACATTGTCTGAGCCCACAAACAAAATTGATTGACTGAGCCATAAGCAATGTGTTTTATCTCTGATGAGTCAAAAAACAGCAGCAGCACTCCTGAGATGAGTTAGAAAAGTACTTGACAAAGGGTTTGAGAGTGTTTTAGAAAAAAATGTGTCACACAAACTGCTTGAACGTGTTAAAAACTCAAACGAATGCATGCCTCGAGGAAACCGAGAAACACTGAATGTTTCGAGATATTCTGATGTTAGCCCGTTAGTCGCAGCTCTGTGAGATACTGTGTTTCATCTACAAACAAACTACAGGATTAGCATTCCTTGAAGAAATACATATTGTCTACATGCACATACCAGAGATTTGGATTAGGACCATTTATTTTGAGAAGGGAAAAAGTTACAAAGGAGATGATAGTGGACTTCAGGAAACAGAGTGGAGGTCAGCACTCCACCATCAACATAAACAACACTGAGGTGGAGCAGGTCAGCAGCTTCAAGTTCCTCAGCGTTCACATTACTGAGGATCTGTCCTGGACTTTACAAACACTGTGGTCAAGATAGCCTGAAAAAGACTATTTCCTAAGAAAACTAAAGAAGTTTGGTACAAACACCAGCATCCTCACTGACTTTTATAGGTGCACCATTAAGAGCCTGCTGACAGGCTGCATCACAGGGTGGTACATGAACTGTACCAGTCAGAAAGCACTACAGAGGGTGGTGCAAACAGCAGACATCACTGGGAGCAGTCTCCACACCATCCAGGACATCTACCACAGCTGATGTCTGTATAAAGCACGCAGCATCATTAAGGATCACACCCACCCAGCACAAGGACTCTTCCATCTACTACCCTCAGGCAGATGATACCGGAGTCTGCCATCGCATACAAAAAGACTAAAGGACAGTTATTATCCACAAGCTGTCAGATTACTAAACGCTTGATAAATAACACTGAACAATTGGCAATAACATTGCACCAAGCCACATCTGTGACAACTAATATGTTTATTGCTGCTGCATTATGTGTCTGGATCATGTATGTATCTATCTTACCATCAAAAAGCAACCGGCCCAGACAACATCTCCGGGAAGGTGTTGAAAGAATGTGCCGATCAGCTTTGCGAGATGCTGGCCAACATTTTTAACTCCTCACTTACCCTGGCAACAGTTCCCTCCTGCCTGAAGACTGCCACCATCATCCCAGTCCCAAAGAGCTCTACAGTGACTGGTCGGAATGAATATCGGCCAGTGGCCCTCACCCCGATAGTCGATAATGCTTCAAAAAACTGGTCATGACCCACATCAAAACAAACATCAACAAGAACCCTCACCAGTATGCATACCGCGAGAACCAATCAACAGAGGACACCATATCCTCTGTGGTCCACACTGATCTCACCCACCTGGAGCAGAAGGACTCTTACGTCCGCATGCTCTTTGTGGACTTCGCGTCTGCCTTCAACACCATGATCCCCCAAACCCTGATGGACAAACTACTCACACTAGGACTAAGCCCCTCCATTTGCAACTGGGTACTAAACTTCTTAACAAACAGACCTCAGTCAGTGAGGATCCACAACTTCTCCTTTTCCACCATAACCTTCAGTACTGGCTCCCCTCAGGGATGTGTACCGAGTCCCCTCCTGTTCACTCTGCTCACGTATGATTGTGCACCTGCCCTTCCAGGCTGTCATATTGTAACATTTGTAGATGATAAAGCGGTGGTGGAATGCATCACAAACAACGATGAGTCCAGCTATAGGCAGGAGGTGGAACACCTGGAAAGCTGGTGCAAAGAGAATAACCTTCACATCAATGTGAAGACAATGAAGGAGATGGTCGTGGACTTCAGAAGGAAAAAACACCTACACCTACACCTCCACACCCACACCCGAACATAAGAGGATCTGCGGTGGAAGTGGTCTCCAGCTACAAGTACTTGGGTGTACACCTGAATGACAACCTCAGTTGGGGCAACAACACCATCAGCCTGATCAAGAAAGCTCATCAGAGACTCTACTTCCTCAGGTGGCTGAGATGAGCTGATCTGGAAAGCACAGTCCTCACCTCATCTACACCTCCAGATGCAGGAAGAGGGTCACCTGCATCATGAAGGACCCCGCTCACCCAGCACACACACTTTTTGCCCCGCTCCCCTCAGAAAGGAGTTTAAGGAGCATTAAGTGTAGAACCACTAGACTGAGAAACAGCTTCTACCCTGAGGCTGTTAGACTCATGAATCTCTAACCAGAATAATCACTGTGAAAAATCACATCATGCTGCTGATCTGTTTCAATGTTGCTGCTGATCTGTTTCATGTTGATGTGTTCATGCATGCTCATCTGCTCACACAGACTCATGTTCGTGCTGCTGTTCGGCGTATTGTTTTTATGCTACTAGTGCTTAGTGTATATTTAGTTGATGTTTTTCTTAGTTCTTAAATTAGATCTTATTACCGTTTTTCATTTACATTTTATTGTTGGATGTAACTGGGACCCTGTGTACATAATTTTGTTCCACATTCTAACTCTGATAATTCATCTCAACGTTCCTCACTACCTGTGTAATAACCTGTCACACAACCTGTGTAGTTTATGTTTGTTATGTGCAATATATATCATGCACATTTAAGATTATATTACTACCTTGAAATACTTATTTATACTAATTCATCCCACTTGCACCGTTATGTTCTACTATGTTGTTGTTTACTATATTCAATGCATCCCTTACATTACTTGCATTGGCAGGGCACTCATCTGTTCTGTGATTTTTGTTGATCGGGGGAGGGGGGTTTGTAGTCGCTGGAGACCGAGACACATCCGTGTTTGTACCGACAGTTTTCAGGGTATTTGAGAGACGGCTCAGCGTGAGGGAAGCAGAGTGCTACCTAGCTTTTTAGGTATCTAGCTTAGCACTATGTTGGTGCAGGCAGATGTCGGGGGGGGGGGGGGGGGGGGCACTTGAGGAAAGGCAAGGTACTTGGTTCTGTTGACAGGGCGGTACACCCGGCTTGTATAAGGGTAGGTAAAACACTGATGTTTCTTTTAGACCTTGTAAATATATTTCTTTTTTCACTTTTGGTACTTTATTTTGTAATTTTAATGCATGTTTTAGTTTTGTTTTTGTTTTTTAGCGAGTCCAATCAGTTCTTCTTATCCTGAACATTTCATTGCATTGTTGACCTTGTGTTAGCCTGCATTTGACAAATAATGTACAAAAAGTATTTTAGTTGAAACCTTGAAATATACTGCTCACAAAATTAAAGGCAACATTAAAGTAACACATCCTAGACCTCAATTAATTAAATTTTCTCATTGACAAACTTTATTATTAGCAGAGTGGCATTGATTGAGAAGAAAATAACAAAAATGATCAATGTAAATCAAAATTATTACACCATGGAGATCTGGATTTGGATTCATACTCAATACGAAAGAGGAAAATAACATGACCGGCTGATTCAACGTCAGTGAATATTCCTCAAGACAAGTCTAAATGAGGCTCAATAGTGTGTGTGGCCTCAACGTGCCTGTATAACCTCCCAACAATGCCTGGGCGTGCTCCTGATGAGACAGCGGATGTTCTCCTGAGGGTTCTCTTCCCAGACCTGGATTAGAGCATCAGTTAGCTCCTGAACAGTCTGTGGTGTGATGTGGCCTTGGAGGATTGACCGAAACATGATGTCCCAGATGTGCTCAGTTGGATTCAGGTCTGGGGAACGGGCAGGACAGTTCATAACATCAATGCCCTCATCAAGCAGGAACTGCTGACACACTTCAACCACATGAGGCCTAGCATTGTCATGCATAAGAAGGAACCTAGGGCCCACTGCACCAGTATATGGTCTCAAAATGGGTCTGAGGATCTCATCCCGGTACCTTATGGCAGTCAGGGCACCTCTGGCTAGCACATGGAGGGCTGTGTGGCCATCCAAAGAAATGCCTCCCCACACCATGACTGACCCACCACCAAACCGGTCAAGCTGGAGGATGTTGCAGGGAACATAACGTTCTCCACGGTGTCTCCAGACTCTGTCACGTCTGTCACATGTGCTCAGTGTGAACCTGCTTTCATCCATGAAGAGCACAGGGCGCCAATGGCTAATCTTCCAATTTTGGTGTTCCCAACAAATGCCAATCGTCCTGCACGATGTTGAGCTGTAAGCACAGGTTCTATATGTGGACGTTGGGCCCTCATACCACCCTCATGGAGTCTGTTTCTGACAGTTTGAGTGAAAACATGGACCTTAGTGGCCTGCTGGAGGTCATTTTGTAGGACCCTGGCAGTGGACCTCCTGTTCCTCCTTGAACAAAGGACGAGGTAGCGGTCCTGTAGCCCTCCTACGGCCCCATCCACGTCTCCTGGTATACTGGCCTGTCTCCTGGTATCTATTCCATGCTCTGGACACTGTGCTGAGAGACACAGCAAATCTTCTTGCCATCGCTCACATTGATGTTCCATGTTGGCTTAGCTGCACTACATGAGCAACTTCAGTGGGCTGTAAAAACACCTCATGATGCCTCTATGTGTGACAGCACTGACAAAATGAAGAAGTGACTAAAAGTTCAACCAGAAAGGATGAGAACAGAGAAATGACTTGTAGTCACCACGTGCAGAATCACTCTTTTATAGGGGTTGTCTTGCTAATTGTCTCTCATTCCACCTGTTGTGTTTCCATTTGCACAGCAGCAGGTGAAACTGATTCACAATAAGTGTTACTACCTAACTGGTGACATTGATTCCACAAAGGTGTGACTGATTTGGAGTTGCATTCTTTTGTTTAGGTGTTCCCTTTATTTTTTTCAGCAGGGTATTTTTATGAAATATTATGCAATATTGCAAAACCTTGCACAATGTGTAGCACTCATACCATACCAATTACCATACCAATTTATTTATAAAGCACTTTAAACAGTGACAAAGCACACCAAAGTGCTGTACAGGGACAAACAGAACAAGCACACAGCAACACTCAGAAAAAGTGTTTAGTGCTTAACTTCTATCACACCAAATTTTAACTTAATATCTAAAATTAGCTGATGAATAGTCATTTTTGTGTTGGTTAATGTTGATTAGATGTGGTGGCTATCTTGAATTGATGTAACTGGGACCCTGTGTACTCAATTTCGTTCCAACACATGCGATGCGAATTACAATAAAAGAAACCATGACCATGACCTTGAATTGGGGTGACTCTATAAATTATTAAGTGTCCATCCAAAGATTTTTATCCGAGTGAGCAACTTAAACCTATCTAGTGGCTCATGTCATATTTTGCTAAAGCTACAAATAAATGCACATTCATTCAACCTTTATTTATACAGGTTAATCCCACTGAGCCATTTACAAGAGAGACCTGAAGAGACATGTGCAGACATGGACAAAAACACCATCTCTTCCATTAGTCTTCAGCGGCAAGCAGGCAGTAACTAATCATAGTGTGAGAAAGTGAAGGATAAAGAAAAGGCACGGCCTCGGTTTGCTGATGCCAACGACCACAAATTCTTTTTCCAAGGGGTTTTTCTTGTCATTCACTGGGAAGGATCAAAAACTCAAACTAGCATAAATCTTTTGTAACGAAAGAGATCCAAATGAACTCCAGTGAGACATTAAAAAATGTCTCTTGGCAAGCTGCGCCACCGAGCTGCTCATCCATCAATGTGTCATGGTGTGCTGGTGAGCAGAGGCTGCTCAGCTGACCACAGAGGGTCTGCTCCTACACAACCCACGCACACACCAGCCTCACAACAACTCACAAACAAAGAGAGGCAGAAAAACACAGTCAGATTCCCAACTTTTAAACCCGTCTTAGCCCTTCAGTCGTTTCTTTTAATCTGCAAGCTAATTTGTTGTTTAAGACAAACGACATTACTCTGGTGTCAGATTCTGATGCAAACAAGCGGTACGCCGATGTCCCTCGTCTCCGAGGGATATGAAGAGTGAAGGTTTGTAGTTTTGGAGATGAGTGTTTTTCTGGACTTGAGTTAAACAGGAAATGTAAGTAAACCTAAATGTTTTTGGTGCAAAATGTTCAAGTGAGTAAGAGTTACACTGTGGAGAACAGAGGTAGATTTTTGTTGGGATTACTGGTGCAGCGTTAGAATGCAGGCCCAGACCTTGTGTCACCCTCCACGCTGAGACATTGTGCTGGAGAGTTGGCTCCAGTCTTCACAGGGATCTTCAACTCTTCACTGGAGTCATGCCATGTCCCAGCCTGTTTCAAGTCCTCCATCATCGTCCCTGTCCCCAAGAAGCCACGTGTCACAGGACCAAATGACTACAGACCTGTAGCTCTCACGTCTGTAGTCATGAAAACCTTTGAACGCTTGGTTTCATCTCACCTCAAGTCCATCACCAACCCCCTCCTGGACCCCCTGCAGTTTGCCTACAGGGCCAACAGGTCTGTAGATGACGCAATAAACCTGGCTCTTCACTTCATCCTGCAGCACCTGGACTCCCCAGGAACCTACGCCAGGATCCTGTTCGTGGACTTCAGCTCTGCATTTAACACCATCCTCCCTGCTCTGCTCCAAGACAAGCTCTCCCTGCTCCATGTACCTGACTCCACCTGCAGGTGGATCACAGACTTCCTGACAGACCGGAGTCAGTGCGTGCGGCTGGGGAGAGCTGTCTCGGACACTCGGACTATAAGCACAGGATCTCCACAGGGCTGTGTGCTTTCCCCCCTGCTTTTCTCCCTGTACACCAACTGCTGCACCTCCAGCCATGACTCTGTGAAACTTATTAAGTTTGCAGATGACACCACCCTCATCGGGCTCATCTCGGACGGTGATGAGTCTGCATACAGGAGGGAGGTGGACCGGCTGGTGACCTGGTGCAGCAGCAACAACCTGGAACTCAATGCCCAGAAGACAGTGGAGATGATTGTGGACTTCAGGAAAGCCACAGCCCCTCTGCCCCCCCTCACCTGTAAGGATACCCCCATCACCACTGCAAATTCTTATCGGTTCCTCGGCACCACCATCACCCAGGACCTCAAGTGGGAGCCAACCATCAGCTCCCTCATCAAGAAGGCCCAGCAGAGACTGTACTTCCTGCGACAGCTGAAGAAGGCCAAGCTGCCGGCCAAGCTGATGGTGCAGTTCTACACGGCCATCATCGAGTCCATCCTCAGCTCCTCCATCACGGTGTGGTACGCCGGGGCCACTGCCAGGGACAGACTGAGACTGCAGCGCGTTGTGCGCTCAGCTGAGAAGGTGATCGGCTGCAGCCTTCCATCCCTCCACGACCTGTACGTCTCCAGGACTGTGAGGCGAGCAGGTCGGATCACAGTTGACCCTGCTCACCCTGCACACGGACTGTTTGAACCACTCCCCTCAGGCAGGAGGCTTCGGTCCATTCGGACCAGAACCTCCCGCCATAAGAACAGTTTCTTCCCCTCTGCTGTTGGACTCCTGAACACTCATAATGCTACCTCATAATGTCTGCTTTGGTCACATTACATCTGTATTATAACTGAATACTCCATCTGTACTGTTTTCGAAGCTTTTTTATTGTTTTCTATTGTATGGGTGTACATATGGTTATGTTATGGTTTTAATTTTACTTTATTTGTGGGTGTACACAGGCTTATGTCTTATGTAATGTTCTCATTTTTACTTAATTTTTACTTTATTTTTACTTTATTTTACTTTACTACTATTCGCACCTTATGTCGAAGCAAATTCCTAGTTTGTGAACCTCGTTCATTGACATGGCGATAATAAACTGATTCTGATTCTGATTCTGAGAATGGTTCCATTCATACCTGAGTGACAGGAGTTTCTGTGTTAATTTTGCTAACACTCTTTCTACTTCAGTGCCTCTTTCCTGCGGGGTCCCGCAAGGCTCCATTCTTGGACCCCTTCTGTTTTATTTGTATCTCCTCCCCTTAGGGTCTATCCTGAGGAAACATGGTCTTTCCTTTCATTGTTATGTTGATAACTCTGATTTATCTGCCGTTAACACCTAACAGTTCCTCCTCCATTCGCCCTTTGTTAAAATGTCTTGATGACATCAAGACTTGGATGGCTGCAAACTTTTTGAGTTTTAATGATCAGAAGACTGAGGTTATTGTGTTTAACCCTAGCTCTGCAACTGTCACTGATCCTGGAAACCTGGACTCCCTTCAGCCATATCTAAAACAGTCTGTTACCAATCTCGGGAAAGTTTTAGACTTGGACTTTAAGTTTAATAAACAGATAAATTCTGTTCTTCAAAAAAGCTTCTTTCAGCTAAGGCAGATAACTAAGCTCAAGTCCGTCCTGTCCAGATCCGACCTTGAAGAATTAGTCCATGCATTTATTACAACCCGGCTGGACTACTGTAACTCGCTTTATGCGGGGGTCAGTCAGGTCTCTCTCTCTCACGTCTCCAGCTTGTCCAAAATGCTGCAGCTTGGCTACTAACAGGAACTCGCAGGTTTGAGCATATTACTCCAGTTCTGTCCTCCCTTCACTGGCTTCCTGTGCGTGTCAGAGCTGATTTAAAGAATCTTCTGCTGACATTCAAGTGTGTTAACGGCCTTGCACCCTCATACCTCTCCGACCTCCTTCATCCTTATACTCCTTCTCGGGCCTTGAGATCATCAGACCAGCTGCTTTTGGCCGTACCAAAAACCAGACTGAAGCTCAGAGGAGATCGGGCATTTTCAGTCATGGGCCCTAAACTCTAGAATAATCTGCCCATCAACATTCGACAGGCCACCTCAGTCTCTATTTTTAAATCTCTCCTCAAAACACATCTGTACTCATTGGCATTTGATTTAGTATTTCATTGTTTCTCATTATATTTAATGTTTTTATGCTTTTATTCATGTTGCTGTAATATGTTGTTAATATTTAATGCTGTGATCTTTTTTGGTAAGCACTTTGATAACAGTTACTGCTTTAAATGTGCTATATAAATAAATGTGACTTGACTTGACTGTGTCAGAGACAAAAAAAATCCCTTTAATTTTCCATTGGAAAGATAAAAATATTTAATTTGAGCTCATCAGATAAAATAATTCTTGCTGTGATGAGCAGGTGAAGATTCTCAGTCCTCCAGGTCATGATCAGTCAAAAATAAAAAGGTCAAAAATAAAAACAACTTAACTTCTGTTCTGAAACTGAAGATATTTCTCTTCCCATCCAGGAGCGTTTATCAGTTCTAAAATGTCTGCAGTGTGTGGAGCTCTCAGCTTTATAGAACTGGATGAGAGGCCTGGTTGTCTTCTTAGATTCAAACACTTACAACGCAGCTGATTCCAGGTCAGCTCCACTCCACTCCTTCATGCAGGTGATCCAAACATCTCTCTGTGAGCCAGGCAGACAAAGATCCTGATGAGCCTCCACTGTGCGGGGCGAGTAGTTCTAGTCTAACCTGCAGCTGAACACAACCAGGTCTCTCCTGCAGACATAAAGCTTGGAGCTCCACACACTGCAGACATTTTTAAATCTATAAAACCTCCTGGACGGGAAGAGAAATGTCTTCAGCTTCAGAGTAGACGTCCAGTAGTTTTTGTTTTGAACCTTTCTGTTACTTGCTGTGATGCATTTTAAAGACATGACACAGTACATTAAAGCACTAGCAGCAAAAACAACAACCTTACCTGCACTTGCAATCAGATCCTTGGCCCGACTGTGAGGACAGAAAACAGACATGTGATCCACTCCTTCATACACAACAGCAGCTTTCATCCATCACTCCCTGAACTCACATTCATATGGTGTGTGTGCGTGTATGTGTGTGTGAGGATGCTTTCATGAGAATGGAATGTAGCTAAAACTGAGGAGGCTGACTGTCCGAGCTGAGCTGTGTGAGGCGGCAGCAGCTGGAGTGTGACAGTGTGCTAGCAGCTCACTTCTCCAGGCTGGGGGAGCGGCTCAGCAGGTTGGTCGAAGATGCTGCCTTTTTGTACAGACGCTTCTTCTGCTTCTCTGGGTCCGTCAGTTTCTCACTGTTTATGCGAACTCTGCAGCACAGCGAACACAAATGTCAGCTTTTAAAACACAACATCTGCATATCTATGGAGGTCATCCCACAGCTGTGCATGCAAAGGACCAGAGATTATTAGCATGACAGCAAGCATTACAGAGAGGAAGAGAGAGAGGAGATTTTATCATCACCCACTACCATTAATTTGTTGTTAGCAAAATGTCTCATGAACCACTGAGCACAATTCTTAAAGGTAACCATTAGATGTAGATCTAGAACAGACTGACTTCTCGTCTCACAGCTACAGTAGTCCCTCGTTTATCACGGGGGATCCGTACCCTGAAGCTCTGCAATAAGTGAAAAACTGCAAAGTAGTCATAGTAGTACAAGTAGTAACTGTTTATTTTAGTGTTTTAAACCCTTCCCACACTCTTGCAATATTCTAAACAATGTTTTTAAACTCTAAATGATGTAAAAGAGCACAGAATGTCATTATTTCAGCTCCCTGCCTCCTCTGTTCTTTGCCACCTACAAGCTTCATTGGCCACGCCCACTTCTCATCTCTGCATGGAGAACAGTTGATCAGCTGCAGCAGGAAGGTTATCCTGCAGTGTGGGCTGCACAGAGGTGCAGGAGGTGCTAAATAATTTAAAATAATTTATTTTAAATAAAAATTCCATGCCGATCATGCGGCTCATCCATTAATCAGCCAATTGTGTCATGTCCAATCTTATTTTGAAAAACCGCGATAGAGTGAGTCCACGATAAACAAACTGCGAAGTAGCGAGGGACTACTGTATCAATGGTGGGCACAACTAACTAAAAAGTTAGCTTCACTAACCCATATTCTGCTAACTAAAAAATAAGTTTAAACCACTAAACAGGTAAAACAATTAGTGGAAGCTAATGCTAAATCGCTAACCACTAAGACGACTGTCACTCAGTCTGAGTCACACATCTTCGTCTCCTTCTAGTTGAAGCTGCGTTGATCAATCACATCTTGTCAAGTGTACACAGTCAGCCAAAAGCGTGCCTTCAGTGTGTCACCGCTGCTTCGACCACACACTTGATTTCACGTGTGCACGTAGTAAGCCAACAGCACGTCTAGCAGACTCTGCAAGACATGCCCATGACAGACAGGAACCAGATGGTGAATTTTGTTAGTGGACTTAAAGTTGGTGAAACCTACTTTAGCAGAAGCTAATTAATTCCACTAACGGTTTCCAAAGTTAGCGAAAATGCTAATCCGCTAAATGAAAAATGAATTCCACGATTAGCTGTTAGAGGAGCAGAACTGTGCCCACCACTGAGCTAGATGCTGCCACACACCTAAATGGAAGTTGGTGCCACACGTATTTTTTAAGTTGTCATGCTCACAACATGCACAGACATTTATGGTGGTGGCCATTTTGGATACTGACGTGGCAACCCTATTTTTTAAAGGAATCTTTCTTACACCTAGATGTAGCCACACTCCAAAATACAAGATAGTACCTCTTTAATTTTCAAGTTATCATGATCATAACGTGCACAGATGGAACACCCCCCCCCCCCCCGGAGGGGGGACAGTAATCACAAAATGATCATCTACAACTGATTAACCTTTGAAATCAATCTAGTTTAAGATGGCCGCCACAGGTAAGGAAGCCAAAAATAAATGTCTCTAATTGCATAATTTTGCTGATCTTGGAATAAAATTTGTTGTGGTAGTAGATGAGAGTCATTAATACATTTCAAGGGCTAGCACACCTTGATAGATTTCTTGTTTGGTCGCACATAACTTTTTATTTCAAGATTTGACAAAAAAAAACAAACCCCAACAACTTCAACTCCAGCATTTGAACAACTTCAACTCCAGCATTTGTCATCACAAGATTCAAGTGTAAATCTTTGGGGTGGAGGGCAGCGGGTAATAAGCATTCCTTCAAGGAATCACAGCTTCAGTTTTAAAGGCTTGTAATTTGATCACATGAAGTTTAATCTGCTTTCAACATCCTGATTCCCAGACCCTGATGGACAAACTACTCACACTAGGACTAAGCTCCTCCATTTGCACTTCTCCTCCTCCACCATAACCCTCAGCACTGGCTCCCTTCAGGGATGTGTGTTGAGCCCCCTCCCGTTCACACTCTGCTCACATTCATATGATTGTGCAGCTACCCATCCAGGCAGTCATACTGTAAAGTTTGCAGACAATACAGTGGTGATTGGATGCATCACAAACAACAAGTCCAGCTACAGGCAGGAGGAGGAACACCTGGAGAGCTGGTACAAAGAGAATAACCTTCAAATCAATGTGAAGGACGAAGGAGATGATTGTGGATTTCAGATGGAACATTAAGTGTAGAACCACTAGACTGAGGAACAGCTTCTACCCTGAGGCTGTTAGACTCATGAATCTCTAACCAGGATAATCACTGTAATGCCACTTGGTTGTTGATGTGTGCTGCTGACTATCCATGCTGCTGATCTCATGCTGCTTATTATTTCATGCTGCTGTTTTCATTCATACTCATCTGTTCACACAGACTCATGTTCGTGCTGCTGCTGTTCGGCGTATTGTTTTGCACTATTAATGTTTAGCGTATTTCTTAGTTTATATCTTAGATCCTTATTACAGTTTATTTTACAATTTTTTTTGGGGGTGTAACTGGGACCTTGAGTACACAATTTTGTTCCACCTCATGTACCACATGTGATGGGAATGACAATAAAACCTACTTGAACTTGAGCTTAATCAACTGAAGCAGTCATTTTCTGAGAGATAAGAGCGTGTTTGAACAAGTCCCACCTGTTTCATCATTTTCTAACTGTCGTCAGTTCCTACACAGCCTGACGCCTGAGAGGCTCCCAGAGAGCTGACTGTTTTCCCTTCTTTGAGCTTTGCATTATCTAATCTATGTCAGCATCGGTTATTACCAGTAGGTCTACAACATTAGCATCTGCCAAATCAAAAGATGCTCCCAGCCTCCTACAAATACAGAAGAGGAAGTCTTATAGAAGCTAAGGCTCTCGTAGAGGACACAGTTGTACCGCAATTTCCAAACTATAAGCCGCTACTTTTTTCCACACGCTTTGAACACTGCGATATATACAATGACGTGGCTAATTTATGGCTTTTTAAGGACTAACGAACTTCATGTCACCAAAACATTTAGCCTTGTCTCACCCAGGCGCTCACATAGCTGCCCAATACACACATCACGATCATGTGAAACATGTGATCCCTGGGGGCACAACGAAGTATTTGCAGCCACTCGACAGAAGTATGAATTGTGTATTTAATGTGGCACTCCCAAGCTCAACGGAAGGCTTGGATGACTAGCGGTGAGAAATCATTTACCAAAACTGGCCGCATGCAAAGAGCAACTTTTGCTCAAGTCTGCCAGTGCAGGGAAAAAATCTACTATGACCAACGGGTTTTGAAAAGCTGGACTGCTGCGAGATGAAGAGGACAGCACAAGCTCAAGGGTGAATTTGCCTCGCGTCGAAAGTGACGTTGACCGCAACAACGAAACAGACTGAGGACGTGTGTGATGAAGTAATTCTGAGGCTGTTCAATTCTGACACTGAAGAAGACAACTTGAGTGATTTTAGTGCACAGGAAGAAGATGGAGATAGTGATCAGTGACTTTTCATGGTAGGCTACTGTATTTTTTTTTTTTTTACCAGCTGTGTTACAGGCAGTGGTCAGAAAAAAAATACTGTACATATTTGTGCAAGATACTGGTACATATTTAATTAAAAGTTTAAAAAAATCTTTCTGTGTAAATATCTCATGTTACAACGTGGACACTTGCAGCTTACAGACAAGCGCAGCCTATAGATCAGGGGTGCCCAAACTTTTTCCCTGAGAGGGCCAAATTTAAAATCTATCAGAGGGCTGCGGGCCAAATTAAATAATATAATACATGAAATGCAAATAATTCTTTAAGTCCATTTATTTATTATACAGTTATGTAACCTTCCATTCTGTATAAAGAACATTACAGAACAGAAAATATAACAAATAAGTCATATATAAGAAATTACAACAAATATAGAAATTTTGGAATTTCAGTATAATTGTATGTAGTGCAAAATGTATGTCCTATTTATTTATTTAACCAGGCAAATCCCACTGAGATCACAGATCTCTTTTGCAAGGGAGGCCTGGGCCTGAAGCAGCCTAACATGCATGTTTTTGGACTGTGGGAGGAAACCAGAGTACCTGGAGAAAACCCACGCAAGGATGAGAAGAACATGCAAACTCTACACAGAAAGACCCAAGGTCCAACTGAGGATTGAACCCAGGACCTTCTTGCTGTGAGGCAACAGTGCTAACCACTGAGCCATCATGCTTACAGCAACACAACTTAACAGCAACACTAATATGATCATAAACAGTCCCATATATACAGTAGTCATTGGGCTGACTTTTTCATCTAACATTAAAGTCAATGTGTGGAATGACTGAGTGAAAACACATTGATTCTTCAAAGGAAATTTTAATAATAGTAATGAGGACTGCTTGGCGGACTAACTCAAACGGTTTGGCGGGCCAACTTTGGCCCGCGAGCCCCACTTTGGGCACCTTTGCTATAGATGTACAATTTTTTTTTTTCTTTTTAAAGTTAGTGGGTGCGGCTTATATTCAGGTGTGCTCAATAGTCCGAAACTTACGGTACACAGTGGCCATTAGATACTTTAATTGTTAAGGATGGGTTCAGCTGAACTGTTGAATCTAGATGGCAAAAACCAAACTCCACGTCAATCCATCATTTATTTCTTCAGTTTTTCTGCAGCACATGCCGATTTCAAATGGTGTCAGAGCACCAGCTGCATTACGGACAAGAATACAGCAGGTTTGTCACACGCTGCTCTAAGATGAAGGAAGTGAAACTCAGCCAGCACAAAGTCTCTTCCCAATAAGTCACGAGGCTGTTTGTGCAAAAGGTGAATAAAGTTAGATCTGTTCTGTCACTGTACGCTGACCCACAGCTCAACCGTCCACTTCATCACGAAAAGGCAAAGGCAGAGCAAGGATGGTTTTGCTCG